CATTGCGTACCGACGCATCCGTTGATGCGATTTGGTAGAATCCTTTGTTTGCGTCACCTCCCGATATGTATCGGAATGGGACTGCGACGATCCAGTTCAGGATGTCGAGCATGATGGGAAAGGGATATGGATCCCAGGCCATGCAGTCGTTGGCTCGGCGATAGTCGAAGGCTACGCGCGGGGGTTTGTCTGCATAGCGAATGATAACAGGATCGCTGGCGAAGGTTACTTCGGTGGTTCGTTTCCACCTCTGAAGCCCCATCATGGTGTCTCGCTCCGTCTCGAGGGCTGTCCGCTCCAACGGAGAGTACGACCGTGGCCTCGAAAGGGGTGGCGGAGCCGAGATAAATCGAGGCGCATAAGGAATCTTGGTGTAGTTCCCTATGAGATGACCCTCATAGCTGAAGGCTTGATGGAAGTGTCGTAGAATGTTGATTAGGGCCCAGACCACGGGTTTGGGTCGCTTGAGATCGACGTGGAAACGTTCCGCGTCTTTTAATTGGGCTTCGAAGGCCCCTGGAGCCCTCTCCGTAGAGTCGAGGTTCCATTTGTTCCGAAGTGTCTGCCATTCTTCTTTGGAAATGTTCTCTTCGGGGTCCGCAACCGAATTATGGGTCGCGGTGGACAGTTTGAGGCCTAACGGGACCGTTGAGCTAGCAGCGGTGGCCTCAAGAGGGTTTTCGATGAGAAAAGTTTGGGCTGCCACGCGCGTCTGTCCCGTGATTAACATGGTTAATCTAGACTTCTGAGCTTTGGCTTTGGTCAGCCGTGGCATTGACACATCCTTCATGAATTCACCCTGCTTGGTCTTGTATGGCGTGCCGCGCATGTGATCGGTGTCCAGCTCATCCGTTATGGAGCAGGGGATAAGGATGTCTGGATTCTTGAGCGTCACCGCGAAACTGGGTAACGGGGGTTCCTGAACCAAGGTTTGGAGTTTCAAATGTCCCAAAACGTCGTTGGCTAGGATGATGAGAGGTTTCCCGTACGCGATGACCCGAAAGTAGGCGCGGAAAGTCAGGTATTCTCCGCCGCGGCCTCTGAGGGAAGTTTCGAGGCATACTGTCTTGGTAGATGAGATACGTCCACCAATGCCGTTGAAAGCCATCGTTTCCGCATCCTGCAAATCGGTTTCGGAGAACAGAAGGCCTTGGTACGTGTCGGAAATCAGAGACTCGCAGGCCCCTGTGTCTAGTACCACAGGTGCCCAGAGCTGCGCGATGACGGCTAGCGTCCAGCAAGGCTGCGTTTGGGTCTTAGTCTGGCTTTTGAGTACATCGCCTAAATCTACTGAGTAGAAGGCGTTGATAGAAGGCACCGCGATCTCGAAATGGGGCGCGATGTCGTTAATTGTTGCTTCCGTAGCCTTGATCACACTCTCAAAGTGTTCTCTAGTTTTGTCGTTTTGTGGTTTTGTTGTTTTATTCTGGCGAGCAACTTGTTCGATAGCCAGCATGACTATACGCGTCCGTTCGCTCTCTTCGTGTCTTTGGAGACGTGGATGGTCTTTAACGTGCCGAAATTTGGGGTTTCCGCGACGATAATAATAGTCTGAGCGAACGATATTGCCTGTCAGGAGAAATGCCACCAGTTGCAGGTTGGCGTACGCATCAAAGATAACAGGATCTTCAGAGCTCCACATCAAGAATTTCTCGCGCTCGTCGAGCTTTATCCAGGCAAGGAGAATCAAACGAGGGGTACCGTCTTCTCGGACCTTTCGCAGGATTCGATCCTTGTCAGCTTCGGCTGCGGCAGCGATGTAGAGGTGGTGGGAACTCCACGCGACTGCGTAGGGGTCGTTCCCGAGGTGCCCGGCGCCTCGCTTCGGTTCTTTGGCGAAGAAGCTGAGCGCGCGGGGGTTGTTGCCCATCATCAGAGCCACTTGCGGGGTGCCCCAGATGATGGCTATGTTGTCCCAGACTCGGTCCCAGCCCTGCGTGGGCGTGCGGGGGTCCTCTTCCTTGGTCACCGTGACCTTGGAAAGAGGTGCGGTCATCAAAATTGTTGATTCCGAGTGCTTGGGTGAATGAAAGAACCCGATGGTGTGGAATCCTTGATTAGCGGCTTCCGTTCTTTCCAGTTCCGAAGCCGAAAAAAGAGTCTCGGTGGTAGCGGACGTCGAGTCCAGCTCCACTATGTACGCCTTCTTCGATTCCTGTTTGGGTTTCCAACCTGAGGGCATGGGTGCTCCATATGGTCCTTTCTTTCCATCTTCAGGATCTTTTCGGTTCGGGTTCTGCCAGCAGAAAACATTCCAATGCTTTTTCTGACAGAATTTGCAGGGTGCCGGTGGTTCCTTGTTGGGGTCCGGAACCATCTTCTGAGGACCATCGCGACCCTTTTCGGGGTTTCCGGTTTTATGCGGAGCCGTCTGCTTAGGGCCTTTGTCGGTTCCGGTCTTTTGTGACTTCTTCTGAGCTTCTGCAGCACCGCTGTAGCAAGGGTCTCGTTTTCTGGTGTCATCAGAGCCGAAATAAAGGCGCAGGAAGTCTTTTAATTTGGTCAGGTTCGTGACGTTACAGGATTTGACCATGATTTGGATGTCGCTGGGCAATTGTTCGACTATTAGGTCGAAATGCTGGTCAGCGGGACATTCTATGTTTGCCCGGTCGCCATAAGCGAGGCGCCGGAGATGAGTTTTGTGGTCGATGAACGCGAGAAAGCTGCGAAATTCTTTGGGGTTCGCATGGCAGCGCACATATTCGGTTTTGCGCTTGGACTCGGTTAGGGGATCTCGGAACTCTCGAAGCAGTTCCTCTTTCCACCTTTTCCAGGTCCATGAGCGAGTTTCCTGGGCTTCCAGAGTGTAAAACCAAGCGTCAGCAGGGGTTTTCTCGGCTATCATGGCTGGTAGGAGCTGTACCATCCTGGCATCCGACGTTGCGCTAACGTTTTGAAGAAGTTGGACTTTGTTAAGCCATTCTTCAACGTCTTGGTTTCTTCTGCCCGTAAACTCGGGTACGTCCTTTGCTTTCAAGGAATCGACCTTGGTGTCGCTGGCCCACGGGGCCGCTGGCACTTGGATTGGAGGCACCGCACCTGAAAAACTTGGTTCGGTACGCTCCCTTGGTGTGTCCGCCGTTTCCCACGGGGTTGCGGACCGTTCTCTTGTAGCTCGTGCTATGGGAGGTTGTTCAGGCAGCGGGCGATGCGCTAGGGCTTCTAAGGCTCGTGCGAGGCGCTCATCCGCCGCTGTCTGACGTTCGGAAAGCCTATGAAGCTGTTCCGTAAGGTTTTGAGTTGCCAACTGCGTTGCAGCAGTCGAGCGGGCAATGTCTTCTTTTAACGCTGCCACTTCAGAGGCCATCGTGGCCAAGTTAGGGGCTTCCGGTTCGACGGAAGTGGTCCCTGAACGCCTTGGGCGTGTTGCGGGAGGGACTTCGACGTCCTCCGCAGGACCCTGACTACGAGTCTGGATCACAGGTGAGCGGCCTCGCGTTGGTGAGCGTTCGACCGGCATCATTCTCGGGTTTCGTGAAGTTCTGTCTCCCGAAACGAGAGAAAAGGTTTCCGAGTAGCTACCTGAGCGGATCTCGGTTTGCGCAAGAGTTTCGGTACGACCGAATAAGGTTTTCAGCTGAATTTGAGAGGGGAAGGCGGTTCGTCGCGCTTCTCAGTCAAGTGTAACGGATTTTTTGTTGGTAGACTACAGTAAAGACAACTTGGGTCTCCTAGCAGGTTGTGTGGGTGTCCGTACTAGGAATCGTAGTCTCCAAATCCTTTCTTTGGGCGTCGGTAGCGACTTGAGGGCGAGAGGCAAGGAGAGTCGGTTAGTTGTGAACCGAGCAGGATTTAGAGGCTTCGGTACGGGTGATCAGGCCGTTGAAGCGCTCTGTTAGGTTCCTGTTAACCTAAGATTGGAGTTGAGAAGCGAGTTATGGGGATTTTTTGTCGCTACGGCTTCTGCCCCCGACTTATTTTATTGAATACATCCTTTTTATACAAGATTCTTGGATAAACTGTTAAACTAAACTAAACTAATGGGTGTCGCTGCACCGCAACTGATTTATTGGTGGCGGTACCGATCTCTTCCTTTTCCGCACTGGCTCGGGCCTCCACAGGTTGTACGAGGCACGCTGAAATCTAATGCGCCAATTGCCATTCTCCGAACCGGTTTTTTCGGTCGCGGTAACCCAATCGGTGGAGTTGGTCACGCGATTCGTGCTTCCCGCGTCCGATTTGGGCTTACTCGCGATCTCTCGAAGACGTCCTCGTCGTTACACAAGTCATCGAGTGACTCGGGCACGATATCAAAAAGGAAAATTGACTTCAAGTAGTGAAGACGAGCAAAGAAAGCGTTTCGCGCATCGCTTTTCAGTCGCTGCTTCTGTCCCTTCACATCGAGCCGCAGATTAATGTACCAAAGGAGCATCTGCATGAAATGCTCTTGAACGTTGACTTTCAGGTTCGTCATCATACTCGCTGTCAGGTAATTGATTGACTGCTGCTCTTTTTGTAGATTTGGATGAACGAAGCTGATGATGTGGCAGTACCGTTGAACATATGGCAGCAAACAATCCCGCCATGCCTTCTTTGCTTCCTTTCTTGGATGCCAAGCCTCCCCCTTGTTGAGAAGATAGAGAATCGCTTCGATGGTCTCCTCGTTCACGGTGAAGGTTGGTGCAGATAGGATGTAGAATTTGAGAGCATGGGAAGCGTGGTCGGCGAGTTGATGGATGATGGCGATGTAATCTAAAAGCCATTGGCGGTAGATGTCATTTGGCAGGAAAGCTTTTGCAAAGGAAGTCTTGTTGCAGGTATGTAAGCAAGTAGGGTTTTCAAGCTTTTGCTTCTTTTTTGGTGGCATTGATGATATCTGTGGAAAAAGATGAAAGCCTGGGAAAATGCGCGACGACAACTTATATAGGATTTTTTGGATCAAACCATAGTTCATGAGTCTAAATCGAGTAAAATTATGATTAAATTGGTTGGAATCTATGTACTAGTGCCAATACCAATCGGCTCCGCACTATGATTATTCAAAGTGTGAAGAGGGAAGAAAGCAGAGAGGAACGCGTTTGATGTGACTCATCATATCTCTACAACCCCCTCTTCTTCTGGTCGTTCCTCATCTTATTACATAATCTTTAGTCACGTGACTACAGGAGCCGAGGTCTTATTCTGGCTTGCAATTATCTGCATTATGCCTGCGATTGATCAACAATGACGAGGTACAAAGTTTCATAGAACTACTAGAACTACAGGGTATCCTATCCTACGCACGGTTATTATAGCATAGTCTAAATGGTGGTCGTCTTGACCACAAAGAATCCTCTCTCAATAGAGTTCACAACAATGTTTCCAGAGGGAAAGTAGATGTAGCTAGACCAAGATCCTTCAAAGACGGCCTCATTCTTCTCGGGGGTGACATCAAAGTAAGCAACTTCTTGCAGCTTCGCTTGCGCAACCTTTGAAATATCGAGGACGCGCAAGCCGGAGCCGTAGTTTGCGAGGTAAGCATAGTTGCCCTTGATGTACAGGTTGTGGTCGATTGAGGTTACCGGGGCGCTGTAGGTACCAATATGCTTGGGAGCAGTGAGGGAGCGGACGTCCCAGATGTAGGTCTTGGTGTGCTTGTCTGAACCATTCTTCTCGTCGAGTTCGTCGTCAACGAGAAAGTACTGATGGTCCTCGGTCAGCCATCCCTGGTGAGTGTACGCAGCACCCGTGTATCCAGTGCGAGAGAGTATCTTGGGCGACGACTTGTCAGTAACGTCCCAGAATGTGACAGTATCCTCATTGGATGCGAACGCAATCTCCCGACCACGGTAGCGAGAATCAGGTCCCTTGTAGTTAACGACTTGAACGTCGTGGGTATAGCCGTCAGAGCTCGCGCATCCAACAAACTTGGGAGCGGCCGGGGTATTAATGTCTACCATGTGCAGACCCGAATTGCAGGTACGAGAGCCGACAAGGTACGCAAACCCAGTCTCCTCGTTAATGGCAATGTTGTGGGTCTTTCCGACTTCTCTGTAAGTCAGCACGGCTTTGTGATCCTTGGCCGAGTAACGCTCTCAAGGTACGAAGGTCAAACACCTGCATGCATGTGCATTGGACGAGTCATCAGCGACGATGAACGCATGGTCCTTAAAGACTTTGATATCCCTCCAGGGTACTTTGGCGTTGACGTTGGAGGCCAAACGTCCAAGGAAGATTGGGGACGATGGACTGGTAATGTCCACAAAGGCAGTGCCATCTGTTTGACCGATGATGGCATACTCGCGCTTGGTGGTTGGGTCCGTCCATCCCCAGATGTCGTTGCCGTTACCTTGGCTTCCGAGCTCGGTGTGGGGAATGAAGGATAGGAGGTCGACTCCTTTGCATGGGTAGTCTCCAGCCTACAAATACAGTAGAAGGTTTATTCAATAGTACACGGCGACTTCTGCTGCGAATTGGTACTTACAAATCCGTTAGCACACTTTTTGTATCCGACGCTCTGGAGGGATGCAGTGGGGGCAAATGAACTGCTGTTCTGTTGGGCCTTGCAAACCAATGAAGTAGAAGTTTCGCATTGCTCCCAATCGGCCTTCTTGGCCTCAAGGACGCGGCCCATCAGAGAATTGGGATCTGTGTGAACATGCACAGATTCATGTTGGAGACTTGAATTTATGACTGATCTCAATGTTTGCAGACGTACCTCCTTGCTGACAAGCGCCAATACAATGCAATTCACCATCCTTGGGAACCGGCGGAAGAGCCGCAACAAGGGGTGCGACAAGGACAGCGGTAATAAACCAGGCTTTCATAGTATGGTGTGCGTAACGTTGGCTTCACTGGAGCTATTATGAGGTATAAGCAATCAAGAACCGTTCAACGATCCTCTGAAGCAGGAGTAGATTTTACATTCAATGGGAAACCACCGGCATGATGCTTTTATAGTTATGGTCATTTGTCAGAAGAACAGGATTTGTATTATACGGGGAAACTTGCTAAAGCGGTCATTCTCCGGGCAGCGCTGCACCCCACGATCAAACCCAACGAACTGTGAACAAACTGTACACCCGAATTGATACGGGGGCATAAGCATGTTAACCCCGCGATGGCTGCTATTCTCCCCATGAGCAGACGGTCGCGCGAGCGAGACTTTTGATAACGCACCGACGTCTTGTCTCCCACCAGTCTCAAAGCTCCGCGCAAGAAAAGTGGGATCTTGAGGTACTGTGTTGTGCCGCGCTTGTATAACTCCTACAATAGCACACTTTCAACGTGAGATTGGGCGATCCACGCGTTTTTTCTGTTCGCTTTGCACGATAAGACTCCGCACTACCGGAGACGAATCCTCCTTGCACCGACATAGTAATAAAGTTATGAATATAGTGGGGCTACGTAAGTGATGGTGCCTGGTGAGTGACTGCTCATTGCTCTGCACTACCAAGGGGAAGCGGGGATAGTTCTGATGAGCAGATGCACCGTTGCACACAGTTGCTAGATAGTGAGTTCATGGAAGCTGATCGCGATCTCCAATTAAACCTTTAAAGCAAGAAACAACATCATTCTGGAACACATGGACATCCGTAATCCTTGATCGTAGGTGTTCTCATTAGGATCTTTTGTCCCCACAGGCTCTGCAAAGATTTGATCAAAAGGAGACTCCAGCTCAGAGCAACCATATGAGACAAATGCCTCCCCTCGGGGTGCAGGAACAATCACCCGCGCACGGCAATCAATAACGACATATCGTTCCATCATTACGAAATTTGTCGGCCGCAAGTGTTCTGAAAATCACTGTGTTCTGCAAGTAATGGTGCACCTATTCGACTGACCTCCGCGGCCTTTTGCTGCCCACCACGAATGAAAGTTACAGCTGTGTATGGTGATTTCTGACTCGATGGATATGGCGCGTCGGTGTCCTTTTTTAAAATAATGTACTAGTACAATTGCCCTTTGTGGCCCCATCTGGTCAGACATGTCAATAAATCAAGATAGTCCGACAAGGACTATAATTTCAATCAGATCTTGATTGGACACCAGCCGTTGATCCCCGCCATACAAACACAGATATGATACTGTTAAAAGCTGATAACCACGTGGAAGTAAGAAAAGTCAGTACTCGTTCTCCAATACTATTGCAATGTTCAAGAATACTGTATCTCGATGTTTTGGGCTGGGATAAATAGCAAGGGTCGCAGCAGGCAACGACATGCCTGCAAGCGACATCACAACCCAAATCTATCGTTCCTACCACCACCACCTTCCGACTGATCACCCCACTCGTGCGCCGCCAAATCCTGCTCAGTTCACCCCAACCGATTCACCTTGCCTCTTTGCCCCAGTTAACGAAGCCTTTGTTTGGGGTTCTGTGATGTCTCTTTTATCGCAGCGAGAGTCCGAATTCGCTGCAGTGAGATTTAGGACATCGGCGGAAACCAAAAGTTCCGCTACAACAACTTATGACAGGGCATCTTGCCTGACAAGATGCAGGTAAACATTTTTGCAAACACTGTTGCAGGCTGTACAGTCAGTCGAAGGCGGAGTGAAGAATTGAAATGTGTGATCATAAATCCCTCATATGAATGGCTTTGGCAAACAGGGAGTGTGAAGGCAGAAACACTAGTTGGTGTACTGCGGTGAAAATGATGGAGGACTGTGCACATCATAGAATGCTCTCTACAGAATCCCTCGAGGACTGCTTGACATTTTGTATGTCTCGTGTCATTGCTGTTAAAAGAGAAGAAAAGCGATAGAATCACCGCTTGGGACTTGCTTAGGGAACAAAAGATGGTCCACAGAAGGTGGGGGAATCCCAATCTCGTGATGTTGCAAAGAGTCACCTATCACTGGCCAGAGGAGAAACAGGATCAATTGTGATTATGTCACCCGCCGTGGCAGTTGCCGTCGTCGTCAAAGGATGCCGCCCTTGTCTATCGTCGGAGGGCCGTCGACCAACCGCCACGGCCATGGCACGACAACGGTTTCCCGTAAAGCAAAACCCAAAAACCAAAGAGCAGCAAGTCTTGTTTCGAATTATTTTTTTTGCGCGCCGATTTTTGGCCGTTTTTGCTAGTCGTGTGCTGAATCAAAAGAAAAAAAAAGTTGTGATAAACAATTTACGGTAAATGACATCAATGGCGGACCATCGGCTGTTGGCACTCGTTCAAGTTGCCAAACAGCGAGGAACCTGCCTTCCGCTACGAAGAAACCGCTGCAAAAACAAGTTGCGACCAACGCACACAGTCTTGGTTAGGCTGTTGACGAGTACCTCATGTCACGACACATCCTTTTCCTCGCAGTGGCAGCGGCCCTCCAGGGCACTACGACAGCCTTTATCAGAGGAAACCAAGAGTTTTCATCAAACAACTGTCAAGGCATGGCCAACAAGGTCGATTGGATCAGTACGTCTCCCATATCATGTTTACTGCCTCACTCTATGCAATAACCGGCTAATCCTCCTTCCTTCTAAACAGTCCAGAACAAGAACAAAGACTGGAGCGCCGACAACTGCAAAAATCTGGCAGCCACAGGCTGTACTGCCGATCAAGCCGTTCTGACAAACTTTGGTGCAAACTCGACCTGGATGCCTTGTATTGATCCCGAGGGAAATAACCCAGATAGAGTCAATGGAGATTTCTTTCCGGAGGGAGCAAATGGTGGAACCTTTGCCATCTGTATGTGTTCATGACCAAGTAAATTTGGCTTTAAGCGTTGCAAAATGCTGATAACTTCTTTACAGTAACGGAATATGATAACAGCATCGGTGCTGAGCGCTGCAAAACCATCAAAAACAAAGACTCGACAACGGACAACTGGGTCCGCACAGCCCGTCTCGCCGACGGCCAATGCCGCGACGCAGGCCCCCAGCGATACATGCGTCTCTCCTGCCAAAAGGATGGATCCGTCTACATCCGCGATTACTGCAACTCCACCTGCGGGAATTGCAAATATAACTCTATGGTTGGGTACGCTGGGTCATCCACATGTGGCGAGATTGGCGATAATTCTGGGGCGTCGTCGATTGTCGGGGGATACTGCGTAACAGCATCCAAGGGCGGGTTTCCAAGCGAGAAGCCCAAACGTGGGTGGAAACCACCCAACCCTACCGGGCCTGACCAATTTGTGACAGCTGCTGCTGTCCAGAGCAGTGCACTGATGGGAACCTTGATGGGAGCGATGCTGCTGGCCATCGTTTCCATCATATAGAAATTTCAACTTGTATAGATGTTTAGACGTTGGTTTTTTTTAGATACATGTTTTTGATTAGTTGTTGTAGGAACCTCATTATACTGCAAGATACTTGTAAACCCGTATTGGATACTGGTAATGCGAGGAGACCCGTCACTTGAGATCACCTAGAGTCATATCAGAGGCGCTGCTGTTCTGCGCGTCTATAAGAAGGGAACCCGTTTCCCTTCCTTCGCCATTCAAAACGCATAGAACAAAACCACCACAACCGAGCACCACAACCAAAATAACCACAGAATGAACGACAAGGAGAAGAATACTTCCCACCCTACTCCATGAAACTCTCCCCAGAGCGCTAGGATCCTCACTTCTGGAACAACGGTTGTTCAAGCACATCATATCTGGAAGACCTCCTTCCTCAAGATACTATCCTAGGCAGATATTCCATACAACATGATCAGGTATATTGCTGAGCCATTTGACATCAATCGACTAATATGATATGTGCACTTCAACGGGTTAGTGTTGAAAGACAGCTTTTTGAAGCAGGCTTCATCTCAAGCCATGACGGTGACGACTCCCTTGAATGTACTCTCGAACGGTTCATCGACCCTTGGTGCTCTTGATTGAGTGCGCTGGGGATCCAGGACTTTTACTTTGAAAAAATTAGAGTGTTTAAAGCAGGCCTATGGGCGCTCCACGTTGTGCAAGCGTTTGGATGGGGTATTAGGAGTGTTGGTACTACTTCGTCAGTTGACATGTATATATAGTTACCAGTGGTGTAAAGGCGATGCAGACGTGGTTGGGGGTATAGGCCTAGTTGTAGTTAGCGTGATCCTGGCTGCAGACTAATGTGAATCAGTCCTTAGTGTGTACGTAGGAGATCGCTAATATATTTAACGTTCGTCATCACCCCGTATCATCCAAATTTCCTCTTGCCGATCCAGCACAAAGGAGTTTTTTCGCCCGATCGATCTTGCTCCTAGTCAGTACGCTTTGGTACATGGTGGTCATCTGCCGGAGGGAGGTGAGGAGGACGACGGAGTGAGGAGGCGGACGGACGGCGGCGTTTGATTTGTTTCCTGCGACTTCTTTTGTAGGGGGGAA